AACAAGATCTATGCAAATAACTTTGCTGGGGTGTGGATCACCTCGAACAGTGACCCCACAATAAGGTCAGTGTGCTGGACGCCAAAGGTCAAATACTGAATAGAAAGTATCATGTAAAATGTATAAAATTGGCCTCTGGTCAATGCACAGTTGTATCATGTCCTAAATTGTTTTGTTTTGTCCAAATACAGGGGCAATGCCATTTTTAACGGCAACCAAGGTGGCGTTTATATTTTTGGTGATGGCCGAGGCCTCATTGAAGGAAACGACATCTACGGAAACGCCCTGGCAGGAATTCAGATCAGGACGAACAGCTGCCCTATTGTCAGACACAACAAGATCCACGATGGCCAGCATGGCGGCATCTATGTGGTAAATACTTTCAAAACATACGCGACCATTAAACTCACAAAGTTACACCAACTTGAGTCTTTTTTACAGTAATAGTCTCATATCTTGGAATGTTTTCACTTCTTCAACTTATGCTATAATATGGAAACGCAGCAGTGATGTATGGTGGTTCTGTATCACGCAGCATGAAAAAGGACAAGGTGTCATAGAGGAGAACGAGGTGTACAGCAACACACTGGCAGGAGTGTGGGTGACAACGGGCAGTACGCCAGTACTGAGGAGGAACAGGATACACAGCGGGAAGCAGGTACGATTACAGACTAGTTACAAGTTTAATGATGAAAAATCAATGTAATGCAACAAACCAGAGACAAAGAGGCTGTTATTGGCTGTGAAACACAAGTTGTAATGTTAAACTGGTTATCTAAATAAATGTAAAAAATCTGTTATGTTTTATAGGGAGCCCTGTCATAGAAAGTAGTTCATAAAATGCATTTTAATACCAGGAATAAATAAGAGCTAATATGTTTTCACTGTCTTTTAAACAGGTTGGGGTCTACTTCTATGACAATGGCCACGGTGTGCTGGAAGACAATGATATCTACAATCACATGTACTCTGGAGTTCAAATTAGGTTTGTGGAAAACAAAAATAATATGGAAATATTTACCTAAACAGTTTTTATAAATGAGTCATGAAGGTCCCAAAGAACTCAGACTTTAGTCAGTTGTCTTGATGTTAAGATGGTTAAGTAGGGAAGGACATGCATTCAGCATTAGTGAAGCGGTGGATCAACTTTCCCGTGTGTCCTTTTTTGACAGGACTGGCAGCAATCCTAAGATCAGGCGGAACAAGATCTGGGGCGGCCAGAATGGAGGCATTTTGGTTTACAACTCAGGTGAGAAGCAAGTTTATTTTCTATTCTTCTAAAAAAAAAAGTCCAGATTGCCATTTTACCCCCCAAGAGGTTTTACTCTACACTTATCAGTGACCTCCATTGTTGATGTTCTGTTTGACCAGTGTCACAGCAGTTCTCCCTGCTGGCCTAATAATGAAACATTAATGTGTTTTTCAGGCTTAGGCTTTATCGAGGACAATGAGATCTTTGACAATGCTATGGCAGGAGTGTGGATCAAGACAGACAGCAACCCCACTCTGCGGAGGAATAAGATCCATGACGGGAGAGACGGTGGGATCTGTATATTCAACGGAGGAAGAGGTAACTAACTTATTGACAACAGGGTGATACTTGACACAGTTTAAAGGGGTTTCTTGTGAACCAACACACATTGCTAACCACAGAAACACCTGTGTATCTTTAGGGTCTAAAAAAAAAAGGGCATTTTCTTCCTCATAAAATATTAGCGATGCTGATTTTCAATCCAGCATTGTTTTATTAGCCCACAGCCTTCTTATTCCTGGTACACTGCAGCATATCCTGGTGGGTTACGGCCTTCAGATGGGAATCCACTCCTGAATTGACCGATACATTAGAATTGTACGCCACTGAGCTTATCAATTCCTCTTCTTAACGCCAGCATGTTGTTCTGGACATTAATAAACAGTGAAGTCAAACTCATGTGTCTACGCTCCTGGAAACCTGCAACAAGGAGTCATAGTCGAAGAGAAGAAATGGTCCAAAGCGTGGCTTCATTCCAATACTACAGACTGTTAAAAAGTCCACAAAACTAAATCAACAATCAATAGGAATCAACAAAGAATCTAATTGAGAATGGCATTGGTATCAATAAAATCTTAGCGTGTCCCATCCTTATAACCGCCACCTATAGATCAGTGGACTAGTGTGACACCTTTGTGTAAGACTGTCGGTTTATAATGTTTGGCAATGCAGCCGTGCAGTTTGATTGGCATAATCCCTACACATTATTTCAATTAGGCACTCTAAGCTATTTGTACTGTTTAATTTTCACGTCAGAGGTTTGTGTAATTAACAGTTTGTTTTTCTGTCTGCAGGTTTGTTAGAGGAAAATGACATCTTCAGAAATGCCCAAGCAGGAGTCCTCATTAGCACCAACAGCCACCCCGTACTGCGGAAAAACAGGATATTTGACGGCTTCGCTGCAGGTGGGTAACACCTGCACACAGGCTGTAATCTGTATTTAAACACCTGTTACAAAAATGTCTGGTAAACAAACAGTTCTTAATGAAGTACAATATGCCTCAGTAATGGGAACTAGCAGCTCTATAATATGAATTGTTGTTTTTTTTTCACTGCTAGGTATTGAGATCACCAATCATGCCACAGCAACCCTAGAAGGCAATCAGATCTTCAACAATCGCTTTGGGGGATTGTTTCTTGCATCTGGTGTCAACGTTACAATGAAAGGTGCTCTCTCACGGTCACAAAAAGATTGTGACACATTTTCTTGACAAACCTTGAATTTCCTTTGATGTTAACCAATTTCTGTTCTTCCCTCCAGATAATAAAATCATGAACAATCAAGATGCCATTGAAAAGGCTGTGAGCAGAGGTCAGTGCCTGTACAAGATTTCAAGTTACACCAGCTACCCAATGCACGATTTTTACAGGTAATTGATGTTTATATTCGCCACAAAGGTGACTTGAATAACGTCAATTGTTCGTTCTGTGATCATTAACGAACACAATTTGGGTTCCCACAGGTGTCACACCTGTAACACAACAGACCGAAATGCCATCTGCGTGAACTGCATCAAGAAATGTCACCAAGGACATGATGTGGAGTTCATCAGACACGATAGGTCAGTCTCAGTGATCCATTATAAATACTAATGATTTGATTTAGATGTAAACTGATGAGAATACACCTTGGTCTTAATGGAGCTGAACTAAACTATTATTTCTCTACCTGCAGATTCTTCTGTGACTGTGGTGCAGGGACGCTGTCAAATCCTTGCACGTTAGCCGGAGAGCCGACTCATGACACAGACACACTGTATGACTCGGCTCCTCCTATAGAGTCCAATACACTGCAGCACAACTGAGCTCGAGACCCGAGGTCCTCTTGCGCTTCAGCAGTAATGGACATAAGACACTTTTTAAGTTGTGCAGTGGAGGAGAAAGTCCAAACTAAAATACAGATTCACTTTGACAGAGCATATACAGTGACTTAAAAAAAAAGAAGAAAGAAAAAAAACAGACTTGGGACATGAATAGGCTAAAAGGAGACATTTAGAAAAAAAAAAGTCTGATTATGGATGCCTCGCTTTTTCTTTTTCTTCAATTATGTGACAAAAAAAAATGACATCACTTGGACAAAGCAGAAGAGCAGCTGACTCAGGGTTTGTGGGTGTGTTGGTTTGGTCAAGTAAAGCGACACCGGTGAGAGACAGACAAAAAGCCACCGAGACTCGTCTGCTTTTAAGAAGAGCGAGATACCGCAGTCATGTACAGACCTATCGTGGACAGACGCTCAGTCAGAAGAGGCACAATTTTTGTCATGAAGCAAAGGCCCCAAATACAACAATGCTTCCATCACTGGGCAACCGACGTGCTCGTATGATATGTACGGGAAAAATGACCTAGCACTTCAGCTTTTTTTTTTCCTCAAGACAACTGTTGAGATTTGATTTTAATGCTTTTTGTGTAGTTTTGTATTTTCATGCAAAAATCTTACTGTACTTGAATGTCTTTATTTTATTAAATGTGTTCAATTTTTTTTGGTTATTATACCCTAGAATTGCTGTAATTATACATGTCGCAGTATCTAACTTCTTTCTGTGAAAGAGATCAGAGGAAAACACTAAACACTTTCTCCAGCAATGTTGACACATTTACATTTGCAATACAGAAAAATAGATGCTGAAATGTGCTTTCACAAGACTTGTGTAGCTTTTTCTGTTTCGAATAGCATCTTTAAATGTCTGTCTTTGTAAAGGAGCTGAACAGTAGTGATACTTCAGTTTGTTTTACATAATCTATGCATATTTCTGTTTGTTTTCTGTTTGTATTGGCCTGTCCTGTAAGACCTAGTTTACAGGAAGGACTAATAAGAAAGTTACAGGGCAAAATAAGACATTTTTACTCAAGGCTGCAGTTGTTTAACAAATTAGGGGTGCAGTTTAAGCCAGATGAACCCATGATATTCTTAAGACATTGCCTGTTCTTTACTGAATAAACATTTTTGGTAGGGGTCAGAGTATTATAATTCATCTGTTAGGAGATTGTCCAAAGACATTTGGATTGCCTGTCATTGATTTCAGTCAAGTAGATTATATAATCTATACATGTCTTGCCCTGTATTAGAATTATTGTGGTTGCCTTCTCTTCAATATTGGGCACAAATGCTGCTTCTTAGACTGTTAAAATACACAACTTCATTTTTCACTTATTGGGTCAAAGAAAAAGAGACAGGTCTTGTGAAAGCACAGCTAATTTTAATGTTTTTCCCTTGTTTGCCAATGTTGCTGGAGAACTTAAATGCTTTTACTCTACTGAAGCTGAGACAAGTATCTATATACAGCGCTATATGGTTTCATTGCCCCCTCCCTTCCTCCCCTTTCATGTGTACTGGTGATTGTGGGTTCTCATACAGACTGAAATGTATGCATGTATCATAACATCTAGACTTAATATATTGTGAAGTATTCAATAACCGTTATGTAGGCGCTAGCGTGAATTAAAAGGGTTTAATTTCCTAGATGAAACATTGTCATTTTTTAAAAATAAACTTTATTAGATCATTACAGTAGTGTTTTTTCCAAGTGCTGAAAACAAAAACTCAGCAAGAACAAAGCATGTTTACAGAGTGTTTACTACAGTGTGTTGAGCATCTGAACAAGTGAAGCAAAGTGTGTGTTGCCCAGTGTACCACCTTCAGCAAACTGGCAGAGCTTCCTGCAAGAGAAGAGAAGGGAAAAAACCAATTTAAAATCTTTGCTTTGGATGCAACTACAGAATTTTTTAGCCCTGATACAAATACATACTTGAAGAGTCTGAGGCTGATTGTGTTCTTCTCAAACTCTCTGGCCTTCCTGTGTCCTGATTGGATGACCTCCTCTGGCAGGCTGGCAAGTCGAGCAGCGTTAAAGCCGTAACTTTTTGGACAAGCGCCGGTGATGAACTTGTAGAGGAACGTGATGGTCTCTTGACTTGGATCCTCACACTCGTTCTCCACCATGCACGCCTAAACAGTAACAAAACGGGGACATTATACCTAATGGCAGGGCACTACACGTGATTCAGAAAACACAAAAACACAGACAAATGGTACTTTACTGCACTGCAGCTGTTATGAGAGCAACAGGGTCAAACTACACAAACTGCAATTATTTATTTGTGCACATAATAGGAACTTCAGTTACACGTTGTGGTTAGAGGAGCACCCACAATGACTGCACCAGGAAAGCAGCTGTGCTCTAGTGTAGATGTGCCCACAAACTACTGAATTCATTCTCTCAACTTTAACTCAAGTTATTGCTTTCGTTTGACTTGTCGTTGTTCCCTCTACACAATCTAGTACAGTTTAGATGCTGCATTGGGACATTGTATCTGCACTGAAGCCAAAGTCTGGATGTAGTTTGTGTTTTTCCTGTCGAACGCAACATTGTGCCATCTACACAAAGATAGTAGGATATGGTTACTGCGGTGTTGATTTGACAGTTTGGAACAAATGACTAATTTGTGTGGAAAATGATATAAACCCAATACCAACCAGGCTCTACAAGAAACCAAGAAAAATAACTTCTACTGTTAGGTTTCATTGAGAGAAATAAACTATATAACTGAATAGCAGTGAGTGGATAAGAAACCAAGTTATCTACACAGAAACACGACTCTGCCTCCACCACATATAAAGGAAAATCAGACAGCTTTTAAAAATCCATAATACAGAAGATATTTCCCTGTTTTAAAGCCTTTTCCATTTTTCCCATTCAGAAACTGTCTGCCTGGGCAGTATTTAGCGTGTTCTGTATTGCTGTACTCACCATGTGGCCCAACCGCACAGCATGGTTGTTGGCGTAGTCCTCCACCAGGGAGTGGTAATGTGTAGAGAAGAGCGTGCGACAGCAGATCTTCTCAGCAAGCTCCTTCACAACAGCACTGGCAATCGCTGTGCCATCATATGTGGCTGTGCCCCTTCCTGCAAACAGTTCACAGCTGAATGGTTACACCTCGAAAACATACCACAAGAACAAAACAGTGCTGAGAAGACAGCCTCTGATGTTCACAGTTACTATGAATAACCCTTAATAAGCAAATACAACAACAACTTACCTAATTCATCCAGGAGCACAAGCGAGTGTTTGGTGGCATGGTGCAGGATGCTGGCAGTTTCACTTAGCTCCACAAAGAAGGTACTCTCTCCTAGAGAAGACATATTGGATAACAGAAGCTTAGCCCATGAAGTGGAAGCTTATGGCATTTCCCCATGTGTGATACATTAAAGGAGCTCATGATGTTACCAGCCATAATACGATCCGAGGCTCCCAGCCGAGTAAAGACCCTGTCAACTGGAGTGAAGCGCAGGCTCTCAGCAGGAACATAGCAACCCAGCTGAGCTAAAATGATCACCAGTCCACACTGTACAAAAAGAGCAGAACAGTATCTCAATGTGGGCCAACAGAGACTTCAAAGACCTGTGCTGTTCACATGGATGGGAATTATTTTCTTCCTTCTGTTAACTTTTATACACATGGAGCAAAGAGGAAAGTATTTTTTGGATCAATAAACATCTTCAACGGACCCACCTGTCTCATGAGCGTAGACTTTCCGCCCATGTTTGGCCCTGTGACGAGGACACAAGAGGCATCACTTTTTTCCTCATCACTTTCACCACTACCAGGGCAGCCAATGTAGATATCATTGGGGATGAAGTCGTCGCCAAAAAAGGTCTTGGTGACACAAGGGTGGCGGGATCCAGTGAGGTCAAGGAAAGGCACTTCCTGGTCACCACCCTCAGGGAGTACCACCTCTGGCCTGGTCATTGGCCCGTCCCCACCCTGACTGTAGCGCGACAATGCCAGCAGCACATCTGAAAACCATTGACAATTCATTAGTAATAAAAGGTAAAGAGGAGATAAGTGGTCATCCTTAAAAATATTATTGCTACCTGCTTTCTTAGGATTTTATGAGATGATTTTACAGCGCAGCTCCTAAAATTAAATAAATAAATCTGTGGCTGAGGGAAGGCCCAGCTTAAGAAAAACACATTATAAAGCACATTATGTTACCGCACAAGAGATCAGTAATAAACTATGCAATTATCTCTCCCTCCCAGCAAACACCAGTGCACGATTTCCATAAGAATGAAAAACTAATTACTGTCAGCTTAGCCAAGTTTTAAATGGAATAGGTACTTAATGATGGCAAGATTTTTAACAAGCACTCAGACTGGTGCAACATTATCATCCAATACACATTATGGATATATATCGGTAACATCTGCAGGAAGTGTATTCAGAGCAGGCACCTGCAATGCAGTTTAACAATTGAACATTTTTTTTGTACTAACACTTCAAATGTCTCACATGACAAATTTGACTGATGCATGCTGTAAAAAAAAAAAGTTGATTAACGAGAACAAAGGGCATGTAATTACCCAGCACTGCCATGCACTCCACCCCAGTCTTCCAGTCGCTGTAGTTCTTGTCAAAGTTGTAGAAGAGCCTTCTCATGCAGTCTTTCAGGGCTGCATCTCTCTTCTCCTCAAATCCTTGAAGCTCAGAGAACAGCTGTTCGGTCTCCTTTGTCACATAACGCTTCCAGCCTTTCTTTGTAGATTTCACCTCGTACTCCTCAGGAATATTCCTCTCTGAGACACTGTCAGGCACCTCCATCTGGTAGCGGTTCCGCCCAGTTCCCCAGTAGGCCATGTTTTTACAGCCAAGTCTCTTCTTCTGTCTGTCCAGGTAATCCTGCAGCTCTCGTTCACAGTTCTTCACTCCGGTCAGAGCCTGGTCGTACTCTGGGTCAAAGCCTGCTTTAGGGGATATGACACCAGTAGTGCGGGCTTTCTGGTGGTCGAAGGCCGTCTCCCAGCGCGTGAGTTCAGCAGAGAGGTCAGGAAAGAGCCCTTCCTTCTCACTTTTCAGACTGACAACTTGGCGGAGCAGTGTGGATCGAGATTCGCCAGAGACTGGAGCGAGCACAGAAATTATCTCCTGCATAGTTTTGAAACCTTCCAGTGCTGAGAGGAAGTCTGCTATCTTGCGCTTGCTGTAGGTGACCTCTTCATACAGAACTGCTCTGCTGTCAGGATGATCCTGGCTCTTCATAGTGCCGATGCTGTGGATTTTACTCAGAAGACGCTCCAAATCTGGTAGCTTCTTCAGCAGCTCTGAAACCTCAGTAGCCTGGGCCTGGGCTTCCATCAGGTCTTCCACTGCGTCCAGTCTGTCCTTGATGGATGTTGGGTTACACAGAGGAGCACAGAGCCACTGCTTCAGCAGCCTCTTTCCAAACGGGGTAGAGCATGTGTCCAAACGCTCCAGCAGCGTCCCTTCTGTTCCTCCAGACCCATTCTGAAAGATTTCCAAGTTGGCCAGAGTCACTCCATCCAGGACCATCCGCTGACGAGTCTGGGCAAAGAAACTTGCAGGTCCCGTGGCTTTCTCCATCTCAACATCAACAGGGACATATTCTTCAAAGTTGGCCATGGAGAGCAGCTCTTGGTCTACCAAACATTTCTTTAGGTAGAAAATGCATCCACCCAGTGCTGAGAGTGCCAGCTCATAGCCCTCTTTAGGAGTAAGGCACAGAGAATCACTCTCAGAGGTCATCTCTTTTAGAAGAGCAGGAAGAAAGTTGTTCCCGGCCCCCTGATCCTTACCAGCAGTCTCCCTAAAGTAATCTTCTTCTGAAAGGGTTTTAAGTGTCTTCTGTGCATCCCAAAACTGGGTGCCTGCACTGAGCCCTTCCTGCAGAGCAGAGGACAGAGAGGCCTTGAGTATTTTGCGCGTTTCAACGGATGGGTTGCCTTTTTCAAAGAGCACTTCAGCTGGGGCAAAGTGTGCTATCAGGGTGCGCAGACGTGAGCAGTGACGATCATCTGGGAACTGACCAACATGGAAATAACCCACAGAGGTGTCTACAAAGCAGACTCCATAGGTACGACAGCGGCCAGAGCTTTCCTCTTCAGCCTTTTCCTTTAAACTCAGCAGGAACTTGCTCTGACTCTCAGAGGGAGCACCGTCCAACACACTGTAGGTTTGAGTACCACGTGTGATAATCCGGCACACCTCCCTTCTTACCACGCGGTCAAACTTTGTGGGCTTAGCCATGGCCTTACAGCGCGTTTCCATCATCTCTGGGGTCTCTGTCTGCTCCACACGAGCCACCTTGTAGCCTTTCTGGACTAGAACATCTGAGAAACGTCCAAAGCCGATCTCTGGAAAGCCTGAGTGGGCCCAGTTCCCCTTCATGAAAGTTAGTCCCATCTCATTGACTCCGATCACGGCATCCATGTGGTACAGCTCATAAAACTTCCCCACCTTGTAGAAAATGACTGTATCAAACATCTTAGATTTGAGCTGCCACCACCGACGCATACCAGGAGTGTTTTTGTTTAGAAAGTCTTCTGGCACATACAGGGTGGTAGGATCGTAGCCATCCTCGGACTGCCGCCGCCTTCCTCCATCTTTCCTCCTGCCATCCTGCAACCACTCTAGCTTCTCATGGTCCCAAACTGTGGCGCCTCCGCCGGTGCCTGATCCATTTGCCTGGCTCTCAAAGTTATCTGGGGCAGAGAAGGCTGACAAACGAGACTTTGTGTCAGCTATAACAACAGCTGGAGCTCGTTTTGGTGCAGTGGACGGAGTAATGGACACCTTGGCTTTTGTAGAAGCAGACTTTTCTGCAGGACGTTTGCGCTTTACAGGCTTCACGGGGCTATCTGCTTCTGACTCGTGTGTGCTCTCCTGTTCCTCCTCTTCATTGCTCACCGTCCCCTCTTCTTCCTCCTCATCCTCACTGCTGGGCGCAGCTTGTTCTGGTTTGAATTCCTCATCTGATCCATCACTGTCTGAGGCTACAATTATACGACGGCGCTTGGCCTTATTTCCCTTTTCAGTTGAAGCACGTGATGAACGTCGACTGCCCTTGGGTGACTTCACTTCTTCATCACTGACCTCTTCATCACTCACAGTTGACTTGTCAACCTGAAAAAAAAAAACACAAAAGGAGGACAGAGAAAAATATAAATATATATCCCACATTACTGACCTGAATAGATATAATAAACACACTGTATTTAATATTACTACTAAGGACAGTCATAAGAATAACATTGGTATTAATTATAGTAAAATTCTGACTTTTATGTCCATATTTGTCAACACGGTAATCAAGTATAATCACAATGTCACCTCCATTTCGTCGTCATCATCATCCTCTTCTTCATCAGAGGGATCCACACAAATAGGCATCTTTAATCTCTTTTCAGGGCTGTCTGTCATGACTCCATCAGCGAGCTCCATAGCATGACGGATTACAGGTTTGCCACTGAAGAACACCCCTCCCGTTTTAGCATCAGTGCTGTCAGAGCCTGCATAACAGTACAAATGTGATGTGGGATGTGATTCAACTGTAGCAAATACTCTTATGTAGTTTATTTGGAGGACAAGTCACAGCTTTAAGATTATTATAAACATTAACTGAGGGAGTAAATGTAGCCAACCTTGGTACTCTCTGATATATTTGGTGCTGACCCATCCTCTAGTAGGGGGTTCATCAAAGAAATGGACGTGTATGCGTTGGTTCCGACCCTTGCCCCTCATCTGCTGTCCAGTCAGAGGTTGGGGTACCACCATGCATGGCCACCAGGGGTGTCCCTCCAGTTTTGCCCACACGAGGGCACCAGCATTAAATGTGCATGAGGAACTGCTGAAAGAAGGAAAACACATATTTAGGTCATACAGTTTATTGACCAGGACCAAGATAGTGTATTAACAGCTCATATTACTGATATTACTATAAATCAGGGGTCTCAAACTGCTGGTCAGGCGGCCACTTCCAGTCCTCCGTCCCCCTCATAAAATTATTACTATTATTTACTTCTTCTGGTTGTTTCTTATAAATTTAAACTACCCCTTCATATAGGTTTCAGGCCTTGTTGTTTGGCTGTGAACAAAAGATGATAAAACATTATGATAGTAAATGTATAAAAATGTCTGTTTGCATTTTATTTTTTGTTAAGTATGGTGTTAGTAATGGAAATATTTGCAGAATATTGCAGTTTCTTATAGTACTTAAATGTTATGATATTATCGTATATTTGAGTTTGAGACCCCTACTGCTGCTACTACTACTATTCAAAGCTACTGACACGTTATCAACTGTCTATGAAAGTGGGACACGCCTGAAAATCTACAAGCAAAAGTTAACCAACTGTAGTGTCCATTGCACATTTTGACTAAACTGACTCATGCAAAAAATAAAGTCCACACATCCTTTTAACATGCGGTTGCCTATTTTATTAAATGTTACACAACATTAATGTTATGCTGAAGACTCCCCAGTTTAACTTGTAGTTTGTAGTATATGATGTTGACTATCCACTCAAGTCCCCTGCATTGTTGCTGTGTTTACATTCAGAGCCACATTTAAATTATGTGCTGTATTATGAGCAGCCATGATTAGTCTACTAGGCAAACACAACCACCACCATCTCATAGCGAGTATATTTCCCCAGAGTGGGATCAATAAAGTATATCTTATCTCATGTGGCTCTAACATGTTAATGCACAATCACTAGTACATTTCACATTTAACCTTTTCTAGTTCCACATTAGAGGCATTAGCACTGACTTCACTAAGAGACAGCCCTCATACAGCATGGTCTGCAGGACTTGAGTCATATCAACTATGATCGAAAGCACGTCCAAACTCACCTATCAAATGAAAACGAAAGAAGCTGTAGCAAAAGCACATGTATGTATATTTAAGCTGCTTTTTCCGATTCAACCAAATGCATCTTATGGGGGCCTTGCAGACAATCTTCAGCAGAGGAGGAGAGAAAAAAAAACAGTGCAAAACAAGTTTCCAGCAAATAAACCGCTCCCAACATTATCACAGCTAACAGTTAACTCACCTTTTTACCACTGCTGGGGGCTTGTCGCCAAATAGTTTGCTGAACCCTCCTTTCGCAGGCTTGGAGTTACCTTTCGGTTTAACTTTGCTCGTCTTGTTCGGTTGTTGTGGTGGTGCCTGTTTAGCTTGCTCTTTCGGAGAGGAGTTGGACTTCTCTACGGAAGAAGGCAGGTCTGCCTCGGTCGGAGAGGGACTCGGCTTCGGTTTGGACACCGGCGGCGGAGACTTGGTGAAGAAATTGAAGAGGGAGCTTTGCTTCGCCATGTTTGCGAGTTTAAACGCTGATTTTCTTCGACTTTTTTTGGAGATAATCCTAGCGACAGTGTCCCGGGCCTCCCCGCATCACCTAGCACCCTGCTACACAGCGTCACGGCGCGAGCGCACTCAGTTCGCGGGAAAGACAAGGCACGAGGTGTTGTGGGCGGGGACACGAGCCTCCGCCAATGAGAAGCGACTACACTGGAACGTGGAAGTCACGTGGTATCAACACGACTTCTCTTGGCGCCCAGGGAATTGTTTTTTTTTATTCTCTAACTTTATTTACAATGCAGAAACATACAGTTTATACCTTGGATGTTTTTGCTTATATTAATATTTACTTACTTGCTGAAAGGTAAAAGAGCAACTAGTGGTGTAACTAATTACTAATACATGCCATGAATTATATTACAGTTACCCCCCACAAAAGATAATTAGTTGCAAACTTATTTTTGTTTGCAACCCCCTACTGGTTTGAAATCCGACATTTCACTCACATCCTTGGATTCCCTTTTGTAATCATGAAGCAAACTACCTTGGAGGATGGGAACGCTTGTAGTCATTACTTTGATTTTAACAAACAAAACTGGATTTTAATCATTATAAGTTTGCATTTTGGCGAGGAGGGAAACTATACAATTCTGTGTGAAAGTAATATAACTAGTAGTGTAACACATTACTTTTGGCAGAGAGTAATAAGTAAAGTAATAATATTACTTATGAAAATTGTAATCAGTATTAAATTACACCTTTTGAGGAACTAGCCCAACACTGCTAAATGAAATCACAAACATAGGGGTTATATATGTGCAAATGTGGAGAGATAGAGGAGTGATGGGCTGCCATGTAGATTCACCGCTGGGAGCAGTTAGGGGTTTGGTGCATTGCTCAAGGACACCTTAGCAGTGCCAAGGACGTGAATTGGTACCTCTCCAGCTACCAGTCCACACACCTGGACCTGATGGTCACCAGGTTCCCAAGCCAAGTTCCAGTGGACTGCTGCTATATGCTGTGTATAATTATCATAGTAGATAAAAATATAGATATACTGTTTCAATCTTTGTGTTTGACAGTTTGTAAACAGCACACTAGTTCATCTAGAGAGACTGTATTCATCATTGCAGCACACAGTATTGATCTACTTCTAGCTCCCCGATCAGAGAAATAATAAGAGTCACATCCATCTATCTGGATGTTCCTGAATATGATGAAGTAGGACCCGAATTGTAATACGGTTAATTGGCCAATTATGCTCACACATGAAAGGAATTTGAGCTGGGTTGTCAGTGGTAAGTTATGCAATGTCAAAACATATGCACAGGAAGATTAACAATCATTATTCTGGAACGGAATAATTGTGAGTTGGAGTAGTAAATCACATACGGAGGTAATTGGGAGATTAATGTATTCTTTTATGTGTGCAGATTAATATTATAGTTGCAGGATGTGTACTATTCAAACACCACCAGCAGAGTGCAGCATAATGCTGGAAGCTTCATGAGCAATAACCTCTATCTTCCTGTTTAATTCCTACAATTCAACTCTGGGATGGCAGAACAATTATTCCAGTTCCTGTTCAATCTATCTGATAACAGCACACTTTTGTCACCTTGTTATCTTACTGATAACAATTTACATTTTGAATATTACATGCATGAAAAGTTAATTTTGTGGTCCTTTTGTTCAATAAACTGTTAAACAGATTGATCAATAGGACCAAAATGAGCAGCATGCAAGCATTAAAGCATGAGTCAGCACTGCTTTGGCTATATATAGGTGGCCTTGTTTCAGCGGGAATATTACAGTCTACATGGAAATGTTCCCAGTTATGTACAAAAAAATGTAAAATACCTATCTGCATATATTCATGTTTGAGTAAATAAATACTGCTAAACACCAGAACAGGGTGGCCTTACATATTCGAAACAACCAAACATCCACCCACGAATGACTTTTTGGCATATGGTGTGTGGGTGATAGAAAGCATCTAATTAAGACAGAGTTATTGTTATGAGGAGCTGTTTTATTTCAGCAAGACTAGATTTTGCCAGTGGGTAAACATGAACCCAGGTCGTCAGATAGAGACGCGAGCAGTGCTCAGTTAGTCGCCATCTACAAGTTCACTGCTGGATGCCACTAAATCCTTCAGTTCAAGGTACTTTAAGGTGTTGCTAAGTGGTTGCTAGGTTGTTACAAGGTCAGAGCTAGGTTGTTGCTGGTACAGGATGTGTTGCTAGGTTGTTGCTATGGTGTTCTGGGTGTGTAGTGGAATAAATTATGATTTAACAGCTATCGTGTAAGAGTAACACTTGTTTTGACCGTCTGAGAGAGAGACAGAGGGCAGATGTTATTATCTAAACCTTAAATCATGTATGCGGTAACCAGTCAATACTAAGCATGAGAAAGGAGACTTTTGTTATGAGAAAATTCGATCTGATGAATGAGGTGTGGGATTGTTTTTGTTATTTAGTATAAAGACAGAGAACAACTCCAAAACTGCTGATTCCACTGTAAGAGTTCTTCTCCCTTGTGTACGCAATAAATTTAATTCACGAGACGTTCATTTTGATTTATTAGAGAACCTAAAACTAAAAGTGGATCCTAGCAGATGTACCACTGTTAGCACATTGATTGTCAGCAGTAGAGGTACCAGTAGTCTCAAAGGGCTATTATTAAGGAGAGACTGTGTTTGTGGGAAATTAAGTATCCCCTAAGGCAGTTAATGATTCCTCTGCGACCAAAAAGTAGGAAGAATAAGAATGTTATATATGCAAGGTAGTAACAATGTGGCATTTAGTAGTAATTTTGTCAAGGAAAAATATGTCTGAATAAATTCAACAGCAAGATTTTGGTGAGACAAAATGAATCTCTGTAAACAACAAAAATTACTAAACCTCTTCATTATATTATAGACAACATTTCCTTTAATTTATCGCTGAAAAAAATAATAAAACAAACAACAACCCCCGCCAAACCCAGACTAATTAAATTCTTTTCTTCAATCAACTTCATCCTCGCCTCCTTGTCTTGACTGCATTTTCCTTCCCTTCTCCGCATGTTAATCCTCCTCGCTGTAGTGTGTGTGGTCTGCCCGACAGGCACACTATCAAGCTGATGCAACAGGGTAGAGCAGGCAGTGTTGGTGAGCTTCTGTTGTCAATATTAAATTGTGTTTTATAATGTCAAGTGCTCCCTCACCTCTCACCCTTTTCCGTGCTTTACCCTGAGAGCAGTATGGCTTCGAGCCAGAGAGCAATATACACCGGACTGTGTAAGACTCATAAAGAATTTATACACCAAGCCCAGAAATCCTCTTAAAATACTCATTCTGTATGACAGACATTTTCATATGCATTTGCTTGTTTGAACTCAAGTCAAGTGCTTTATGAAATGCAGTGGGTAAGAAATACAAGGTGCAGCTTTGGATAGCCTTATAAAATGTTACATCTTGCTCCACCCTCACTGATGTGGCCATCACCTGGTCTTAAAGCTGCTCCGGGTAAGATTTATGTGTAAAAATTCACCCAACACATCTGCCTACATCATGAACTGGGGCCTGCGAGAGGGAAGATCCCTCCATCCCACCTCATTGAGAAGCTTACAAGTCATGTGGGAATTGCCAAGTGTCAAAAAGAGCTGCTGTGATTTTCTCCCCAACACCAGCAAGCACACTAAACTGTGCAATTGTAGATCAATTTTTATTGTCCTTCAAAATCTTTTGTTGTGTACTGAGGCTACCAAATTGCAGAGATGCGTAGGGCAGCTTTGGAAGATGAACATGTCTTTATTCCTTCTGTATTTTCAAAGCCAGAGAGATTTCTGAGAGATGAGAAGATTGATACCACTTTCATGTTTGTACCATATACTGTCAATTGTTTGTACAGAAAATATGAAGCTACACCTAGCAGCCATTTAGCTTAGCATAAAGCATAAAGACAGGAAGAGGGGAAATCACTAGCCTGGCTCAAATGCTCTCTAACTGCAAACTAGTTGTGTGACCAATACGAAGAACGGAACCCATAATTCACTGTTTTACAGGAATTAAAGGTCCAGTGTAACATTTAGGTAAATCTATTGGCAGAGTTGGACTACCGGCTCCAGGAGCATTCACATTTTTTACATGTTTTGCAGCCATCGTAATCAATGGCTCAATCAATCTTTCCATATAACTCTTGACAAGAAAGCAAAAATGCTGAACAATTCCTTTAACATTGTGTTAAATATTATGATCAGCTGTACCACTGGGAATGTGAAATACCTCCTATAGATTCTTCTTAAAAATACTGCCAGAATGTGAGTGGCTGAGCTCAGCGGGCACAGGTTTAATATGGCTTTGGTGTATTAGAAATGAGGATATCTGTCAAATATCTGTTACAGTAACTGACAGTGTTTGAGTGGGATCCTGCGAGCTGTTGAATTAAATTGCACCACTAACATCAGTGCAGGAAAGGTTGGGAAGAATGGATCAGAAACAAGTAAAAAATCTCAAAACAGTATCATTAATATTAAACTTAAATTTAACAACCATCTCGATGGACACCTCACAGCAAAAGCAATTAAGCTGATGAGAGAACAGAGACTCTCTTTGTCTCTCTCTTGCTCTGCACCACCATCAACATACCTGTTTGTTTGTTTGTTTGTTTTTACCCTTTTTGTTTCTCCTGGGTGTCTTTATTCCACTACAACCACTCCTGAAGCAGAGCTATTCGAGAGTGAGCTATATGGGACTCCTCTTAGCATAATGAGGAGTGCACATCAGGCTCATGTAGCGAGTGATTCCCTAAGCACTGCTGGGACTGTATAGAGCGACACGACTTGAAATAACAACTCAGCCCTCCCTCTCTTCCTTCCTCCCTTCCTCTCATCTTTTCTTCCTCTGTTCTGCTCCTTAATAGGGTGACCAGTTCCCTCTTTGTTGTTGCTCTTACTTTACACCGGCATGAGACAGATTTTATGATCACAGGATTTCATTTTTACTTTTATTTCACACAGACCAATTAAAAGTCCTAATCCAAACGACTAATGCCTCCTGCTATATGTTCGGTGGTATTGCCGTCCCTCCACAGGTCTATTCTGTCACTGAACCTTACTGAAATACCTGTGTAAGGTTCAGTCATATATTAATTCAGCTGCCCC